CTCCAGGCAGTCCTCCAGAGAACGTGATGGCTCGGGCAGCTAGCGCCACTACTGTCATTGTCACCTGGGATGAGCCTAAGATTCCCAACGGCGTGATACAGGTAAGTGTCAGGTGTGGGCTAGGTTACTTATTGACTTTCAGTGTGCAACCTATTGACTTATACCGTTATACTTGTTTTTTGAGTTGAGTTGACTTTCAGCAACCGGCATCATAACACTCGAGACATTTCCATAAGTGGTCTATCCTCATGTTCAGCAGCCAGGAAAGAGTTCCAACGCCGATAGTAGCGGTAGCAGTCTGATTGTATGTCCGGCTTGCCTTTACTCTGAGTGTGGAGCGTGGGCCAGATCCCCAGATTACTCTCCGTTGCACCACCCTCTTCAGACCATGATAATGTAACTGCGCCTCTGCACTGTTGACTTGCTCCCTAAGGGACCTGACAACATCTAGCTTGTCATATGATGTGTCCTGTTTGACAACATACACTACCTCAGGTGTGGCGAATGCACGTTTGCCTTCTGCCCGAGGACCTTGATTTAGATCTTGGGGACTCCCCCCCCCCCCCCCCCCGATTGAGTTCATATCAGGTGCCAGTTGAAACACATGGTTGCAAGGTTTTCTACCGCTGCATGCCCCAGGGAAGATGATTTGATTAGTAGATAATGTGCAATAAATACATCAATTTTTTTTTTACGAAGGTGTAGTCATGTCCTTAGCCAGGACGGTACAAAGCTGCCTGTATGTCATATGAGTATTTGGTTTAAGGGGGACTTAATTCCCGCTCTTGTAATGGAGTACGTGGAAGCGCCAGAGACTACCAGGGCACTAGAGGCCAGGTGTCTTAGACAGTAGATTAAAGGTTAAAGTCGAGAGGATCCACTTCATTGCATCGGGTTTTACCCCAAATGGCTTGGTCTCTCTCCACAGAACGGCTAGCCGCCTGTCTATAGCGTCGCATATAGCACAAACTCCGTAGCCCCGGTGACAATCCACGCCGATCTCTGTAAAAATTGCACTCATGGACTGAACGACCCAACCGTGAAACTAACTCACGATTTTCAGATAGTTAGTTAGTTAGTTAGTTAGTTAGTTAGTTAGTTAGTTAGTTAGTTGGGTTATCATCATTGCACTCCGGACATGTCCATAGGTGCTCAGATCCTCCCCTCAGCATGAACCCCAACGTCCGATGGCTAATAGTACCAGTTCTATGTTGATTAACAAGTCTTCTGACGTGTCCGGTGTGCGTCACGTTTTTTGCTGTGCCGATCTTAATTCCCAAGTCTGCCATTCTGGCGAGTGATGTGGATTCCCTGCCACCAAAGTCCTCTATCCTTCCCATTTCTCTGAGGGCATTGATAATATCAGCATGATCCATAGGCCGACCGTCGGTAGTGATAGCGGATCCAGCCAACCTGTCAGCTCTTTCATTTCCATCGACGCCTGCGTGTCCCGGAACAAAAATAAAGGTGACTCCTCGCACAGTGGACTTCTGAATTGATTCAAGCCATTGTCTTCGCACTGAACCTGCCTGAACCCTCCGGATCATACTCATTGAATACGATTTTCAGAGCGGGAGGCAAACGGCCTGACCACTTCGCCACGGTAACCCTCCCTCCCCCCCCCCCCCCCCCCCCCCCCCCCCCCACCACAGTAGAGCATACCGGCTGTGTCCTCTAGGAAGTCACCAAGGTGGCAACCCCTATGCCCAGGGATGCCATTCATTCTACAGTCAAGACTGTTGTGCGTGACCAAAAAAGGCACCACACACAATGGATGTAGAAAAGGTAACCTTGTTTTAAAAGAAAGCCAAGCCTAGAATGGACCAGATCATCCACCAAGCATTTATTGATCTATACAAATTTGAATCTCACATCATACACCCCACGCGCCACAGGCGTGAAAATTTGCCTTCACTTACTTTTATGGGAAAGCTGACGTGGTGTAGCGGCAAACGCTGGCCTGCACATCCAAAGATCATGGGTTCGGATCCCGACGGAGCCTGACTTTTTTAGGGCGGGGGGGGGGGGGGGGGGAGATGACCCGTGCTACCAGATTGACCCAACCTTTAAACAGATACCAGGTAGTGTCCTTTGAAGTAAGGGAGGCCTGGTCTATCAAATGTTTGTAGGTCTAGCCCTGTATGCCCGATACGCCTGAAAGCGTGTAAAGGGGCCCTTTACATTTGTTTTGTCTTTGACCCTAAGCATATTGTGTTTGGCAGGGATACAAGGTGTTCTACACCACCTCTCCGGAGGAGCCCATCTTTTTCTGGACGCAGCAGGAAGTCAAGAACGACAACCGAATGGCCACCATCACTGGCTTGACCCCGAATATGACCTACACCATCAGTGTTTTGGCCTATTCCAGCATTGGTCAAGGCCCTATGTCCCACCCGATCCAAGTTCTGACCACCCAAGGAGGTTAGTTTTGAGATTTCCTGTTGTTTTTGACTTTGTCAGTATTTATATATAAATGTGTTTAATTTAGAGGGTTTCATAACTTTTCTTCAATTTGGGGTCCTAATATAATCTAACGGTTGAATGGGGTTTCTGAGACTTCTGCCTAGGGAATTGGTACGGCGATTTGTATATCTTAACGTTGAACGAGGCGCTTTGTAAACAGAGGAATTAGTTGAACCTCCAGGGCATCGTCACGAGAAACTGTTTTGATTTCGCGGGAAGCACATAGCTAACTTCAATGATTGTTACTGTTTATAGCACATCTAGGACAGTACACCATGTACTACACTTACGAAAGACAGCTTGAACGTCCAGTTGTGGTATGGGGTCAACTGGACACCAGGTCTCAGTGTTGCTGCTGTGTACAAGAAGTCAGCTGTCCCCGTACTGTGTTCCAGGATGCGGTATAATCGTTAGATTTAAAAGAAAAAATGAATACAGGACTAGGTTGTGGATGTGAAACTAACAACTAGTTACTGTGTAAATATGAACAAAGAAGAAGAAGGAGAGAATCATACGAAGAGACAGAAAAGACACAAACGGCTGAGAAGAATGGGGAGGTCCAGCTTGGAATCCTGGGTAAAGTTATAGTCCTCAGGTCTACGCTACAAATGTGGCAAACACCTGCAGAAGCGGCAGTTTTTAAAATGCAATGTGTCACATGTCAAGCTGTTCTACCTTCTAACCGATTAGGCTCGATGTTTCCCACTGAAAGTCTAAGAGCCAAGCTAAGAGGGGAAACATGTTGCATCCTCGCAAGTCCTCGCCCTTGTCACCAGCGAATGACCCAGACGCTTGACTCCCTGCCTCTTGCTGTCTGCGGTGTTGCTTGCAGCTAGCTGTAGTTGTGCAGGCCAGCAAAGCCCTGCGTGCATGTAGCCAGGCGTGCATTGACTACCCCTTGCAGCATCTCACCTCACTCTTCCTGCAGCATCTCACCTCACACTCCCTGCAGCATCTCACCTCACTCTCCCTGCAGCATCTCACCTCACTCTCCCTGCAGCCTCTCACCTCACTCTCTCTGCAGCCTCTCACCTCACTCTTCCTGCAGCCTCTCACCTCACTCTTCCTGCAGCCTCTCACCTCACTCTCCCTGCAGCCTCTCTCAACCTCACTCTCTTTTCCTGCAGCATCTCACCTCACTCTCTCTGCAGCCTCTCACCTCACTCTCTCTGCAGCCTCTCACCTCACTCTTCCTGCAGCATCTCACCTCACTCTCCCTGCAGCATCTCACCTCACTCTCCCTGCAGCCTCTCACCTCACTCTTCCTGCAGCCTCTCACCTCACTCTTCCTGCAGCCTCTCACCTCACTCTTCCTGCAGCCTCTCACCTCACACTCCCTGCAGCATCTCACCTCACACTCCCTGCAGCCTCTCACCTCACTCTCCCTGCAGCATCTCACCTCACTCTCCCTGCAGCATCTCACCTCACTCTCCCTGCAGCATCTCACCTCACTCTCCCTGCAGCATCTCACCTCACTCTCCCTGCAGCATCTCACCTCAATCTTCCTGCAGCATCTCACCTCACTCTCCCTGCAGCATCTCACCTCACTCTCCCTGCAGCATCTCACCTCACTCTCCCTGCAGCATCTCACCTCACTCTCCCTGCAGCACCTCACCTCACTCTCCCTGCAGCATCTCACCTCACTCTCCCTGCAGCATCTCACCTCACTCTCCCTGCAGCATCTCACCTCACTCTCCCTGCAGCATCTTACCTCACTCTCCCTGCAGCATCTCACCTCACTCTCCATGCCCCCTTTACCCAAACTAATATGATTTTCTATTTTCAGGTGAGACCTTGTTATTTTTTACACGAAATAACAGGACTAGTTCATATACATCTACTGTTTATTTACGCGCGCTCATTCTGTTAGAGAGAGAGAGAGAGAGAGAGAGAGAGAGAGAGAGAGAGAGAGAGAGAGAGAGAGAGAGAGAGAGAGAGAGAGAGATATTATCATGCTGCAACTGTTTCATGATATTTTCTAGCTTTTCACAGTATTTAAGTGATGCATCTATGTACCACAGTACTTAGACAGTAAGCCTAACTGTGTCTGCTCTCTCTCTCTCTCTCTCTCTCTCTCTCTCTCTCTCTCTCTCTCTCTCTCTCTCTCTCTCTCTCTCTCTAGAGGATATATAGAGATATCTCTATAGAGATATATATATAAAATGCACTTACACACAGAGGTGCCTGCTTACACTTCAATACACAAAATATGAACAGTCGATATTATTGTTCGCAAACGTGTATTTTCATCCAGTTATCACTCACCGTGTATTTGCATCCAATTGATATTACTCACCGTATGTTTTGCTAGAAAGTTAGCCTGTTGCTGGGGACTTGTGAATGTTTGTCCTGCATGCGTGTTTGTTTGCATCTGACCATTCTTGACTGTCTGTTGTTGTCCTTGTTGTAACTTCAAGTGTAGCCTTCATTTTCAGATTGACTATTTTAATCTTCATCTCACTCCCAAATTCATAGTCCAGACAAGACAGCAATGTGCATTGGAATCAACATAAAAGGATACTTTGCGGGGAAATGGGATTCAGGCTTTTGAATGTAAATGCTGTAAACGAAGTTTGCGCATTGGCTAAAGCACAAAACTACAAGTATATTAGAAACAAAATAAACAGATGTGTAGTATATCAGAAGCCCCTGTAGGCAGTGGTGAAACGTCGCGATTGCAAATACTGTACTTCAAGGAACATTGTGGAAGAGGAAGGGGAGGGGGAAGTCAAAGAAGAGGAGGGCAAAGAAGAACCTAGAATTACAGCATCAAGAAGTGGACATAACTAAGCATGCACCTGTTCAGCTATCGGAAGACAGAGAAAGATGGCGGGTTTTATGTATTCGTGCTTCCTATATAGACCTCCACAACCCTAACAGGTCAAGGGTTCTGTTATGTTATACTTTCCGTTATACACTTCATAAATCATAATTATAAATCACACGCTGGTGTCACGACTTTAGATGTTATGACTTGTATAGTTAAAGTCAAGAACCCATTTTACTCATGATTTAATTGACCAATCGGCGCTTGATAGGTGGTGACGTCACTATCACACTGAACGTACCTACTCTGGTACATTCACACGGAGATTGCGGTCAGTTTAGGAAGGGAGGGGGGAGGAGGATGCATTACCAGTCCGCTTTTTAATTCCAGATACCTGGTTTGATGCTACCGCGGGCATTTTGGCAGCCGACCGCTTTGCGTTAATGTCGGCAGTGATATCTAGAGCCGAACGCTCAAGAGCCGTTGCAATCTACGTAAATTGCCTACTAAACCTAGACGGCGAAATAATGTCAGCTGGTTGTGCAACGTCCTGTGAAGGATACTCAACTATCGCTGGAGTACAGATATGTCTGTAAAATGTAAGGTTAGCACCGTATGATAAATTACCGTACAGCGTAAAAAAAAAAAAAAAGGCGCCAACTAGAGGCTAGGTGTCATGTAACGGTATACCAGTCTTTGTCCGGAAGGTTCTAGGAAGTGGAGTGTTGTCAGAGTACTAACATCCTACATCTGTTATATTTACGCCAAGTTGTGTAACGGTAAATATGGAGATCGGAAACAGATATATCGTTACCGTGATAACGTCAGGCGGAAGATACCGTGTAGAGATTAGATTAAGCGTCCTTTTGGGGTCAGTTTTCTTTTGCCAGATAGAAACCTTAATCGGAAATAATAACTTGTGAGAAAAACATAATCGTCAATAATAACTTGTAAATTTAGGTTTTAGGAAACAGGGCGACCAATCCCGTCTTACATGCAGCACTTGATAAAAACAAAGAATTTCACATCAGTTGTATGAATCAGGAACGTTTCATCTAGCAGTAAACGTATTATAAATACTAAACTCTTACAATTAAAAAAAAAAAAAAAAAACATACACACCCAGAAATGGCGTTTTTTCCCTTACATCTTCATAAATAATGATCGCTTTCGTTGTGTTTCTATAGACATTACTCGCTTCCTCCGCCCCCCCCCCCCCCCACCCCCTACTGATTCTTTAGACCCGATTTTCCACGATTAGTTCTAAAAACATTTTTGGTTAGTTCTTTAGACTACTGCTGCTTCTGCTGCTACTACTACCACTCCCACTCCTCCTCTCCTCTTCCTCCTCCTCCTACTACTACTACTACTGCTGCTGCTGCTACTACTACTCCTCCTACTCCTCCTTCTCCTCCTACTACTACTACTGCTGCTGCTGCTACTACTACTCCTCCTCCTCCTCCTACTACTACTACTACTACTACTACTGCTGCTGCTGCTACTACTACTCCTACTCCTCCCCCTCTTCCTTCTCCTCCTCCTCCTACTACTACTACTGCTGCTGCTGCTCTTCTGTCGACCAGACTTCTTCTAAATTGTTCTATTTTAAAATAAATGGTTATTTTTGTGTAGTTCTGCAGACATGACTTCTGACTGGTTCTAAAAACATGACGACCTTTCGCTAGTTCTGAAGACAAAAGTGTTTTAGTATGTTATGAAGCCAAGTTTCCATCGATTTGTTCTAGAAATGTAACTGTAATCATATCGCACAGCTTGACAATCCTTCAGTTACAGACTTTACTGTACCCAGCTGTTTCTGCAGATAATTATTTATCAACTTATTTCTACAGACTCACTGCTACACGCATCTATTGGTTCTGTGTGTTTCGACATATAGTACTTTGTCTCGTCATCTGTGAACACTTTAGCTAGTTAGTTCTATGTGCAAAGAAATTATGTTTGTGCTATCACAACATATAGTACTTTGTCTCGTCATCTGTGAAGACTTTAGCTAGTTAGTTCTATGTGCAAAGAAAATATGTTTGTGCTTATCATGCAAAGTCTGTACCCCTTGGTGACAACACTGGGGGATTACCGACAGATTACATAACACTGACCATGGGGGATAAATGACAGATACATCTAGATGACTTCTCTTATCCTGTACTGGTTACTTCTCTTATCCTGTATT